AATAAACCCTAATCCACATGAAACTTTTTATTTGTTCAAATTTGAACATTGGTTCAATGGATTTCTACGAACAGGATGTGGGTTCCAAACAAAAGAGAAATATCAATTCGGTTGGTTTATTATGAAGCTAAAGTTGGTCATGCTATAGCATAATATACTCCTGTTCGAACCGGGGTTTGAAACCAAACTTCTCCTCTATAAAATTACTTAATTGTGTCATTAATTAAAAAAAATGAAAAATAATAAAAAAAATATTAAAAAATTAAAAAAATTAAAAAAGAAGTACCTTGTTGTTGACTGTATGGCGTCAAAGCTGGATTGACGTCTCAGATTAGCTGCAAGGCAATAAAAAAACAGAATTCATGTAAAAAAAAACATAATAATTTATATTGTAGTTTTTTATAAGTTTTAACTAACCTTTGTCTTTTCGTTGTGCAGAAACACCTTGAATTGCAGTAAAGATTTCGGGTGTAAATACATAAACACCACAATTTATTCGGTCACTAACCTGTGTAGATTAGATATGTTATTAAACCAAAACAGTAAAAACTAATTATTCTATTTAACATGTCAAGTTGTTGACTTTGGTTAAGCACATACAAAGTTTCAGGTTTATCAGTGTAATGGAACAACTCGTTGGAATTAGGATTAGCTAGAAGTTCCTCCAATTGTTCTGCTGATACAGGGGAAACCTTAATTACAAGGATTGTTCCCATCCAACCATATTTTTATGAGCCTTTACAAAAAATTTGTAGTGTATGTTAGAGTGAGTCATTTAAACATTTAAGTTTCCTATTAACATGAATGAATTTTATATAAATTTATGTAATGTATAAAAAAAGAAGTCATACCAAACATCTCGGACAATGGGAAAGTGCAGGAAACATCACAATTTAGCAAGAACGTGTGCAATTGTTATAAAAAACCTTAGCATTCAATAGGAGTTTGAAAAGATAGTTTTTTCTTGTTACTTTTGTGATGAGATCTCTGAAATTGTATAGTCAACCAGCAAACCCACGTGGGTTGTCATCTTTCAAGTATCTATTTCAAGATGATCCAAAAGGCAATCATAATAATAAGATGAAAAACTGAGATCAAATCCAACACCATCAAAGAGAAACGAAAATTATCAAAAAGAAAGAAGGTCGTGAAGTTACTTGCTAGGAATAAAATGGAAGCCCGGAAGAGGGCCATCAATCTCAATCTCTCTCCAACACTTGTACACAAACCTGCAAGGCGCAAATTGACGGTGTTGTTTAGGTCGAACCCTAAATCGGGGAAAATCCACTGAAAGCTGTCAGACTTCTTCACCTGAAAGCTGTTCATAGTAAGCTTAAAATTAGGGATACATGTAGAATAGCTGAGGTAATTGGATAAACTAAAAACGCAGACACCGACCTTATCCAACATCGAAGATTATAGGTGGAAGTAAGTAAATAAATAATACTTCTTCACTGAATATTAACAGACGCGAGCTTTTCCACTTGCTTGTACATAAGATGATTGTTCCAACAACAAACCCCTATTTGGAGTCACATATTTCGCAGTGGTGTTTGTATCAGACATTTTGTCGAGCACTTGATGTGCGTCTCTAAAGAGGAAATATATTCCATTAATAATGTAAAAGAAATTCCAAAAACTTCAAAACAACAACAAATTACAAATAGCAGGTTATAAATTCCTTCTCTATTAAGATTGAATGAGTAAACATTCCCGCCAGCCCAAACAGATCGGCTTCAACAAACACCATCTGAAAATCGTTGTAATCTGTATATTTAATTGTGCACATCATATTTTCCAATCATACGCAGTAACAACCTGTATGAACACACCATCAATCAAATCAACATTTATGATAGTGATTATGAGCAGGAAAGGAAATTGATCACAGAAAAAGAAGAACGCATACAACACGTTAATCTATTACCCGGTTTCCTTTGGAATCTGAAAAAAATAGCATACCTTATAAAATATATCCAAAGTATCACCAAAGTTAAATTTAGACAGAGGTAAACAACTCCAAACAATCAATTTCTTAAATTTCCAATCCCCCTCCCTACTTCAGTTGGTAAACATTCCCGATACGCCAGCCCAAACAGATCAGCTTCAACAAACACCATTTGAAAAAGAAGGAAAACATTTGGAGGCGATGGTAGGAAGAAATCAAATACAAATAAAAAATCAGTAGAAGAAAAGTAGAAAAAACCATACCTTGAGAAATTGGAAAGGAAGGAAAGAGAAAAGAAAGAAATCGTATTATTTGCCCCTTCTGTTGAATTCGATGAAATGAGAAACCTGGAAGAACAAACCAAAAATTTTAAAAACAACAAAGTGAATCATAATATGAAAGTAAAGAAATTAGAATAAATTGGTAACTGAAAGCATCAACCATTGGTGAAGGAAACATCGAAAAAGAAGTGGAGGGATTAAAGTAAGTCAATGAGTAGATACACCACCAAGGATCCGGCCCCGAACAGTACGCAGGTGGCAAAATAACAACCACTATTGCACTTTCCGGTGGTCGGCACCGTCACCACGGCTGCCCTCCTTTTTTTCGTTCCCGTGACGACAATCAGTGGAAGGTAGAGCAAATAGGGAGAGGCGGTGGAGGAAACATCGACAAGGAGCGGAGGGATTAAACTAAGTCGATAAGTAGATATACCACCAAGGATCCGACCACATTGATGTTTCCCTGTTGAACTAAAGAAGATAAATCGATGGTGGTTTGGAGTATCAGGGGTGAGACGACCGAAGTTATTAATAGAGAAAGACAAAAAGAAAATATGAGATTGTGGAGGGGCGACTCACGCACCTAGCCAGCCTCTCTCTTTTTCCTCCATCGTCCCTGTCGATTTGAACAACAATCCAAACACCTCTGTGAACTCGAAGAAACGACCCAAGCACCCCTCCCCCTTATGGCTACTGTACTGATCTCACTCTCTCCCTTTTCTTTGGAACCGACGAAGTGGACAAGAAGAAGGACCGATGACCTAACCGATTGTGGCGAGCCTCCATCCGACCCTTACTGTTGCTGATTTTGATTTCTTTTTCTTCGATTGAACATCACAGAACCACCATGGGACCAACAGTTTTTCCCTCCTCCCCTTCGCGATCCACTACCGGAGCAGCCCCTTTCTTCCATCACATTTAAGGCGGAGGCAGGGCAGTGGTGCTTTTCTGGAAGAAGAAAACGCGAAACAGTAAAACCAAATTAACAGGAAGAAGACACATGCAAATCTGTAGAAATTGACACGTATCTGGGAACACATTAAAAAAACAATAAATTGACCACTCTTCACCGATTACGAAGAACGAAGAACATAAAGAAGAGAGTCGATGCAGGAAGAAAATAAGAAAAGTAACTCTAAAGTGGGAAATTAAGCAAAATAGAGGGACACAAAGTTAATATAACTTGAGGGACCGATTTCGACAAAATAAGGGAACAAATACTGTTACAATCTTTCATAAACTTAATATATATATATATATATATATATATAATAATTTCAACTAAACAATTTGAAAATATGTATAGTTCTACTTTTTTTGTAATAAAAGTTTAAGTTTAACAATTTGAAACTGCATATGGCATTTTATATTTAAATTTTAAATTTCAGAAATTAAATTTTTGAGGTTGAAAATGAATTATTTTACAACATTAATATATATATATATATATATATATATATATATATATATATATATATATATATTAAGTTTAGTGGTCATATTAATTGTGCATTGAACATGTGCACAATTAATTGAAAAGAAGGAAAATGGACTTATCTTATTTAGCATGCTTATATTCATATGCAATTGAACATTCACATAAGAATATGAAACACATATATCCTAACATACATTCATTTCATGTTGATTGTTAGTAAGTTTATGCATACATAATTTCATATACATATACTTATGCATTTTTATATGTGTATGCATATAAATTCATATCCAAGTACATAAACATTTTGTATGTATATGCATTTGCATATACTATTCCCATACACATACATATCTATATGAATTTAAAACTGATCTTGTAACATCTCGTTTATTAAATAAATAAATAGACAAATTAATGAATGAATAGTAGCCCAAAAATCAATAATAATATAGCAAGGTGTTGGTCTCGATGAGTTAATTGATATAATTTTTGAAGTTGGGGGTTAAAAGTGTAAGTTCTGGAGTGGTTTGTAAATATTTATGAAGGCAGGGACTGCTTGGTAAATTATTGGGACTAATTTGAAGAGATTTGGGAGGCTAAGGGGCTGAATGGTAAGTTTTGGACCTAAAATGAAATGAATTTATGGAATCAGGGGCTAAAGGGTAAATGTAGGAAAATTGACTTATCTTATTTAGCATTGAACATGTGCACAATTAATTGAAAAGAAGGAACATGGACTTATCTTATTTAGCATGCTTATATTCATATGCAATTGAATATTCACATAAGAATATGAAACACATATATCCTAACGTACATTCATTTCATGTTGATTGTTAGTAAGTTTATGCATACATAATTTCATATACATATACTTATGAATTTTCATATGTGTATGCATATAAATTCATATCCAAGTACATAAACATTTTGTATGTATATGCATTTGCATATACTATTCCCATACATATACATATTTATATGAATTTAAAACTGATCTTGTAACATCCCGTTTATTAAATAAATAAATAGACAAATTAATGAATGAATAGTAGCCCAAAAATCAATAATAATATAGCAAAGTGTTGGTCTCGATGAGTTAATTGATACAATTTTGGAAGTTGGGGGTTAAAAGTGTAAGTTCTTGAGTGGTTTGTAAATATTTATGAAGGCATGGACTGCTTGGTAAATTATTGGGACTAATTTGAAGAGATTTGGGAGGCTAAGGGGCTGAATGGTAAGTTTTGGACCTAAAATGAAATGAATTTATGGAATCAGGGGCTAAAGGGTAAATGTAGGATTCAAGCTGAAAAGATTTTGTAAGGAGGGGCTGATTTCGGAAATATGGAAAAAGTTGAAATGAGACACGGGTTTAACCTCGTATATTTCTTTTTCCCTCTCGTTGGAATATTGGAACCCTAACCCTAAGTCGTTATACCACCAGCCGCCATGTGAAACCTTCAGCCACCACACCCGTTTCGCTAGTTCTCCGACCAGTCGAGCCACCGAGTGTAGCAATGTCTATATTCCGGCGAGAGCAGTCAACGACGTGACTGCCGAGTGTGTCCGTCGCCACCTTTTTGTCATCCTCCTTCTTCTTCTGCCTTCTGTCGTCATCTACAAACGTGCCACGTCCGTTACTGGCGCTACTCCGACCACCTTTCACCATCTCCTGCCCAGCAGACGCCGACGTCGCCGTTGTAGTGAGTTCCTCCGTCGCCGTCTTCCTCCTCCATGTCCGATGTATTTCTGCGTGGTGGGTGTTCTGTCCGTGGGTGTGTGCGTGTTTCAATACTTTTGTTGTGTGCTAGTTGGCCGGAAAACCCGAGGAAACCACCATGGCTGCCAACCATGGTGGCTGTTGCCGTTAGTTTCTTTTCTGCCACCCTTAACCGCCGTGTATGGGTGGCTGTGAGTGTGATATAGTATTTATGTGCGTGTGTTTTGCTTGTAAGGGAATGTAGGAGCGTTTCTTGGCCGGAGATTCGAAGAAAAACCCCACTACCACCACCGTGAGGTGGGGGCTGCCACCTGACGCCGCCATTCCGCCGCCATCAGCCGCCACGTTGGGTGGCTGTGTGCTCTAACATGTGATTTGAGCGTTATTTGGGATTCGTTTAATGTATTTTGGTTTAGAATCATAACCACCACCGCGAGGTGGTGGCTGCCGCCGTGAGCCGCCGTTGACCACCACTACCCGAGGTGGTAGTCGGTGGTACCGGCCTAATGGGACCCTAATGAAACCATAATTGACCTAAAAATCTAATTACTGGACTAAGTGGCATGCGTTTGGGTTAGAAACCCTAATTAGAGTTTAGAAAACCCTATTTTGGAATATGTTAGTTTTGGATTGTCGGGACCCGCGTTTGGACCATTGGACAGGCTTGGGCCCAATTGGAAAAATTGGGCCATAGATGGGCTATAACTAGACCTTAATGATTGTGAGATATTGGACCATCAGAATGCCAAGTGTTGGACCAAGAATAAATGGTTGGGCCTGAGGTTAAGACCATGTAGAGGATTGGGCCCAATTTGGAAAATTGGGCCATCGTTAGGCCTTGGTTGATTATTTGACTTCTGGGCCTTCAGAGTATGAGTTTGGGCCTTAATCTTGGACCAAGCTAGGTTAGGGGTAAAATTGTCCTTTTACCCCAAGTGTGGATTTATGGTTATGCATTGGAAACCCAAATGGTTAATTGGGTTTTGTTTTGATGTTGACAGTTTAGGGATCTGTCAGCCAACAACCAGAGATTTATTAGCGGGACTTCAGTAGTGCGAGGTGAGTTTTCGCCTGTAGGAACGGGTCTAAGGCACCAAGGCCGGCCCGTTATATATGTTAGTTCCGGACTAAGGTCCGATGTTGGGCGGGGACCGATGTAGGTTTATATGTTTCCGGGTTGCGACCCGATGCCTGGGCGGTACCCGATAAATGTTTGTATGCATGATGTCTTTGTGATTCTTGCATGTGTTTGTATTTGTATGCTTTTCGGACTCCGTTCTGATGCCGGGGTGGTTCCCGAGGAATGTTAGTATGCTTTCCGGATTTCGATCTGATGTTGGGCAAGGCCCAAGGAATGTATTTATGATTGTGTTTAGATGATTATGCTTATGTTTATGTGTATTAGTAGATATGCTCATATGTATGTCGAGCTTTTCTCGATGCCGGGCGGGGCCCGATGCCTGGTAAGCCGATGTCGGGCGGGGCCCGATGTAGTGGACTAAGCCCAAGTTATGTTTATGTTATATGCATTGTTGATATGTTTATATGTATACCGGATCTCGGTCCGATGCCGGGCGGGGCCCGATGTAGCAGGCCGGGTCCCACGGTATGTTGATATGTTTATGTTATGTGATTATGTTATATGTATGGTTGATATGTTCGTATGTATACCGGATCTTGGTCCGATGTCGGGCGGGTCCCAATGCCGGATTTCGGTCTGATGTCGGGCAGGGCCCGATGTAGTGGGAAAGGCCCAAGTTATGTGATCATGTGTATGGTATGTGGTAGTTTGGGGAGACTTACTAAGCTTCGTGCTTACAGTTTTTAGTTTTGGTTTCAGGTACTTCGGTTTTCAAAAGAGGAGCTCGGGATGATTGCAGTGCACACACGATTTGTTTAGCTTGGGATGTTTTCACTCTGATATTTTGACACATGATTCTGATACAGTATTTTGTTATGATGATTTGAGATACATGACTTATGATCTTTATTGTGATGTTTGATGAATTACAGTTTTCTTAAATGATTTCAAAACGAAATTTTTGGACTGTATGTTTGGGATGCTTCAAGTTGGTATCAGAGCCTTGGTTTGAGGGATTCAGGCACACTCTCGGGTGTGTCTGAACTCAAACTAAGGAATTGGTATAAAAATTTTCAAAAGAAAATCATTTTTATGAAAAGCATTTTTAAAAGAGAAAAGAACTTTGAAAAGAGAAAAGGGTGTAGTGCATGCAATCATCCGAGCTCAAGTAAGTACTCCCAAATTACCCACACAAGTTTATGTTAAGATATGTTTATGAGAACTGCATGCTAGATTAGGACTAAGGATCTAGGAAGGATGCCTTATGTGCATATTATATGTGTATCATCTTTATGAGAACTACATGCTAGATTAGGACGAAGGATCTAGGAAGGATGCCTTATGTGCCTGTTATATGTGTCTCGGCTTTGTGAACCGCATGCTAATACAGATTAGTCAGTGATGGCCTGAATGAGATATGCTTGATTATGCTTACTCGATGCTCGAATGCTGCTTGCTTTGTGCTTTTTTGGAGTTCTAGTTATCTTTTACTAACTAGTAAATGAATATGTTAAGTTACATATTGCAAGGACTAAATAATTTCAGAAGGTTAGGTCTAGCTCTATTGCGCAGCTCTTGTTTGAGTCCAACCGTTGTATGGTAGGATCTCTCATTCGAAGAATTATCTAGTCTTAGTGATATTTAATAGTATTCACGAGCTAGTTAGGGAAGATAGCAGGGACTTCTTATGCAACTGATAGCGGAGAGTGGGTTGGTGATTACCCTAGGGCAAACCTAGGATAATTTTAGCATGAGATCAGCAGTAGTAGTAGAAGGGACTTGGTGGAGTCAAGGCAGTTCTTGAGGAAAGTACGGATAGATGTGGAGGGTAGTATAGGCCCGTACTAACGAAAGCAGAGGATCCGTACTTGAATCAAGGAAGGCTGAGATGA